GTGAGGAAGTAGAGTCAGGCGTTTAATTTTTAAATATGTATACATTTAGGAGATAATGGAAATGAAATGCTATCTGATTTTGAAGGGAAGAACTGATGTTTAGAAAAGTGGGCTTTGTATAGAACCACTACTTACATTCTTTTAAAAATCTTACTGTCGCCAGGCACAGTGGCTCACACCTGTAATCCCAGCATTTTGGGAGGTTGACAGGAGGATCACTTGAGGCCAGGAGTTCCAGACCAGCCTGGGGAACACAGTGAGACCCCATCTCTTAAAAAAAAAAAAAAAAAATAGCCGGGCATGGTAGCATGCACCTGTAGTCCCAGCTACTCATGAGGCTAAGAGGCAGGAGGATAATTTGAGCCTGGGAGTTCAAGCTTGCAGTGAGCCACAATCATGCCATTGCGCTCCAGCCTCGGTGACAGAGGCCCTGTCCTCCCAAAAATAAAAACCTTATTGTGAAAATATATGTTCAGAAAAGTGCACAGATGTACAGCTCAATTTATTACATAGCAACTATCAAGATTTTTAAATATAGAATATTACCAGCATTGCAGAAGCTCTCCTCATACCCCCTCCAAATCATTACTCCTACCTTTATCATAAATCAAGTGTCCATATATATGCATAGGTCTGCTTCTGAGCTCTTTTGTTCCATTAGTCTATTTGTCTATCCTTGTGACAAGCTACACTGTCTGTCCAATAGAATAATTCTCCCACCTTGTTCTTCTCCATGACTGTCTCGGCTACTCCTGGTCCTCTGCATTTTCATTTAACTCTTACAATCAGTTTGTTGAATTTCACACACATAAACTTGTTGAGTTTTTGACTGGGATTTACTGAATTTATATATCAGTTTGAAGTTGAGATTGTTAACAATATTAGGAGGTAACAAACTTTTTTCTTAAAGGGTTAGATAAGTATTCTAAGCTTTGTGGGCTGAGGCAGAATTGGAGATATTATATATTTATATAACCATTTACAAAACATAAAAACCGGCCAGGTGCGGTGGCTCACACCTGTAATTCCAGCACTTCGGGAGTCCAAGGTGGGAGGATCGCTTGAGCCCAGGAATTTGAGGCCAGCCTGGGCAACATGGCAAAACCCTGTCTCTACCAAAAATAAAATTAGCCGGGTGCACTGGCACGTGCCCGTGTTCCTAGCTACTCAGGAGGCTGGGGTGGGAAGCTCACCTGAGCCTGGGAGGCTGAAGCTGCAGTGATCTGTGATTGTGCCATTGTACTCCAGGCTAGGCAACAGAGTAAGACCATCTTAAAAAAAAGTAAAAACTATTTTTAGCTTGAAAGTGTCTGAGCCTCAATAGGTACTGGCTGAATGAATTTGGCCTGGGGGCTGTAGTCTCCTGGCCTCATGAATTTCTTTTACTTTCTCTTAGTAATGTCATATAAGGTTTTGTGTTGTGGTCTTACACATCTACTGTTAGTTAACTATCTAGCCCCTAATTTTCTAGTTCTCTCCTCAGTTGTGCCTAAGCTGCTGTTAAAACGTTCCAGTGAACTTGAAATTAACAGGCGGGCTCACTCTTGCCCTGGCTTGAGTATAGTGTCATCATCATAGCTCACTGAAGCTTCTAACTCCTGGGCTCAAGTGATCCTCCCACCTCACCCTTGAAACCAGCTGGGACTACAGGCAGGTGCCGCCACACCCAGCTATTTTATTTATTTATTTGTAGAGACAGACTCTCACTATGTTGCCCCTGCTGGTTCCACTGTATTCTTTCTTTTTTTGCAATGGAATCTCTCCCTGTCCCAGGCTGGAGTACAGTGGCGCAATCTCAGTTCACTGCAACCTCTGCTTCCTGGGTTCAAGTGATTCTCCCACCTCAGCCTTCTGAGTAGCTGGGATTACAGGCGTGCGCCACCATACCTGGCTAATTTTTGTATTTTTAGTAGAGACAGGGTTTCACCACGTTGGCTAGGCTGGTCTTGAATTCCTGAACTCGTGATCCGCTGGCCTTGGCCTCCCAAAGTGCTGGGATTACAGGCGTGAACTACCACGACTGGCCAAGTTTCCACTGTATTCTTAATTTTGATTATTGGATTCTTACAAATTCTAGAATTCACTTTAGAAAAAAAAGCATGTCCACGTAGCTGCTGAAATTCCCAAACTGGTGTCTCTCCTTGAAGATGGTAAGCAGTTATTTTAGTCTCTTTGATAGCACCAATATCTCTAGCTACTATGGGCCTGCTATCTTGTCTCACATGCCTGCTTACATCTTGTTGTACTCAGGATATTGTATTAACAAAATTGTAGAAATAATCTGAAGTTTAGGATAATAATATCCTCTAGAGAGGGTTTTTGTTTGCTTATCCAAAGAGTTTGGGCAAACTACCACTCTGGGATCACCTTAATCTAATTTCAAAGATTAAGATCCATAATCAGAAGCTTGGCTGCAGTCCTGAGAGCCTGTTTCCTACACTGCCTCACCCTTATTCCTGGGGTGCAAAAGACTGAGGGCTTCAACCAAAAGTGAGGGATGGCCGGGCGCGGTGGCTCACGCCTGTAATCCCAGCACTTTGGGAGGCCGAGGCGGGCGGATCACAAGGTCAGGAGATCGAGACCATGGTGAAACCCCGTCTCTACTAAAAATACAAAAAAAAAATTAGCCGGGCGTGGTGGCGGGCACCTGTAGTCCCAGCTACTTGGGAGACTGAGGCAGGAGAATGACGTGAACCCGGGAGGCGGAGCTTGCAGTGAGCCGAGATCGCGCCACTGCACTCCAGCCTGGGGGACAGAGCGAGACTCCATCTCAAAAAAAAAAAAAAAGAAAAAACACCAAAAGTGAGGGACACCACCAAGTCCATCCCCCTTTCACAGGCCCTGTCCCCTACTTCTGAAAGGCTGCTAAAATCACTGCTAAGCCTCTGATTCGCCTCCAAGTTTGGCAAATGCTCCCAGGAGAACGGTGGCCCATCACACCAAGCCCACCTCCCAGGGTTCCCATCTCCTCTGCCGTCCTCGTTTAGCAATTCTTCAAAGTCATGTTGGCTCTCTTGGTGCCTTCAAACCAAGATTCTGAAGTATTTTGTCCAGCCTTTCTAGTTAACCAGTGAGCTGGTCAGTCCAAAGGACCTATCCACCATTACCAGAAGCATAAGTCCTCATAGCTACTTAGTTACATGTGCAGCCTCATATACAATTTGTGAAATGTCGGTGCACCATTGCCCATCTTTCATTCTGTGTTTTTGTAAAACAACAGATGCTTATGTGGAAACAATCAGACCTTCGCAAAATCAACTGCTCTCCCCAATAGAAAACAGAGGTTTCTATACTAGGAGTAGAAAGCACAGGTTGCCTCTATCTACCTACAGCAAATAGCAGCTGATTCACAAGTATGCACTGAGAGCCTACTATGTGTGAGGGAAATGAAGAAATGACATTGGCATTTTATAGGAGACTAGATAATCAGTTGGCTGACCTTAAGCTAAACCCCAAGGTTCAGGTTTCAGCTCTCCTCTGTTTTTTCAATTTATATGTTCTTTCCAAGGACATGCAGAAATCTAATTTCCATTGCTTAAATGCCTTTATTTCTTTCAGATCAAACTGAAAAGGCAGAATAGCAACTTGGTAGTTTTGGCTACTAGGGCAACATTTGGCAGTTTTCAAAAAAGGAAACAGAAATGACCGATACGTACATAAAAGTTTCACTAAAAACAAAATAAATGCAAATTAAAACAATGAAATACTATGGTTTCCTATTCAAGTCGCTATATATATATGTGTGTGTGTGTGTATATATATATATGTATGTATTTGTGGTTGTTGTTTGAGACAGGGTCTCACTCTGTTGCCCAGGCTGGAGTGCAGTGGTGTGATCTTGGCTTACTGCAGCCACCATCTCTGGGGCTCAAGTGATCTTCCCACCTTAGCATCCCAAGGAGCAGGGACTACAGGTATACACCACCATGCCCAGGTAATTTTGTTCATTTTTTAAATACAGATGGGGTCTCACTATGTTGCCCAGGCTAGTCTCAAACTCATTTAAAATATGCTTAGCTTAGGTTCTGGCTTGTGATGTGAGGGGCCATGTGCCTCTAGAGGCATCTACTTGGGTTATGCTCCTGACTTGAGTGGATAACTTTGTTTTTCTTTAGATGCCATAACAATGGACATGTGACCGTTTGTTGGAAAAACACAGTTCTCTCAATTGCTTGCTTACTGAAGCTCATTCAGGCTGATTGGAGGAGGAAGCCACCTTTCCAGGGGAGTAGGTTGGTTGCAAAAGTGTGCCCAAGGCCAGCTTTCACTGCAGCGGGGGAGCCCTTAGAAAGTCTGGGGGTAAAGGAAGGAGGAAGCAACTAGAAAACAACGGAAGAGACTTCAGATGGTAAGGTTTCTATTTAGTACTTATTTCAAGTTTAGGCCTCCTGAATGGTAGAGGTGGTGACAGGAAGATACCTGAAACCTTGGTTATATAATAAACTTCCTTCTATGACGGTGAGTCATTTCAGAATAGAAATGATGGAATAATTGGAAATCAAGTTGAAGGCTTAAACAAGTCTGCTGATATCAAACTGTTGGAGCAGCCCCGGAGCTATGGAAATAGAGGCATCTGGATGGAAGTTTGTATCCTGGGTTGGCACAGAGATTCCAGTTGAACCAAAACTCCATGAGGACCATGCCTAGTAGGTTCAGTAAATGATACTATCCATTAAAGAAGTTCTTGCCTGTGAACAAAGGCAGAAAGTTACCCGTCCAGATAAAGCGAATTATAAACTTGTGTGTAATCTGGCAAAGGCCTAACCCTCATATCCTACACCCTCCACTCTCATTCCAAGAGAGCCTGGGTAAACAGCCAGGGCTGGGTTTTCCTCTGGCTGCCAGATGGGGTTAAAAATCTGCTTCTCACCTTCTAGGCTGTAGCAGTGGGGAGTTAATATAAAAAGAAACTGTAAGATTTCAAAGGAAGAGGGACCACACCCATCTTCACAATAAAATGTCATTCTCAATCTAGAGCAGAGGCGCTCAAACATGGTACCGGAGATGCATCCCAAGTAATGTTTCTGGTTAGTGGTTTAAATACTGAGTTTTGTAAATGCTTTACCATTAGTTTGATTAAATTACTGTAGATCACAAGGGTAGCTATACAACAAAGTCACTCTCAGATATTTGTATGCCTTCTTGAATGAGAAAAAGGCAGACTTTCAACTATTAGTACATAAGCATCTTTTGTTACGTGTCGTCATAGCTAAACGGTTGAATACTGCTCTTCTAGAGCAAGAAAAAGAGGGAGCCCCTGGGCAAAACAGAGCCTAGGCAGAATGTGAGGGAAGAGATGAGATTTGTGGAGGTAAGCAGTGTCCCAAAACTGGGGGAAAAAGGAGCTTAGGAAATGTGACGCAAAGTGAACTAGGCAGGAGGCATGTACGTGAGGCTTTAGGAAGCAGGATTAACCCTCTGCATGTTCAAGTGGACATGCTGGTACTCAGTATTTATATTAGCACAGAGAAGAAGGCAGCAGAACAGTTAGACCACATTAAAGGCCAGTTCTTGTGGGGAGCAGGTTTATCTTTGGAGGTGGAACTGGGTACCCTTCCCCTCAGTTACTCATGGGAAACTCGTTCCAAGGCCACATAGAAACTGTTCTTGTCATCTAGGCAATGCCAACCAATTGGTCCAATTTCACAGTCTGCGCAGACCAGAAACTTGATGTTGCCCACGTCCTTGGTGAAGCCCACATTCTCAAAAATGAACATGTCCTCAACCAGCCAGTGTTCCTGGAGGAGATCACCATCAGGATTGCTGCCGTCAGACAGAGCTGGCTTCTTTCTCATGGAGGGAAGGAAAAGCTGCAGTGGGAGAGAACATAAAGAATGCAGAAGTTGAACTGGCCCAGTTCCATCAACACCCCCATTCTAGGTACACTTCACATTGCTCCTTAGCAGGAATGACAAACTAAAAAAGAGAAGCCGTCTCGTTAAGCTGTAGACGATAATGCTGGGTGGCTCTTCTTTGCCTCTGGTCTCTGCCCTGATTCTTTTTTTTTTTCTTTTTTGAGACAGATTATCCCACTGTCACCTAGGCTGGAGTGCAGTGGCGTGATCTCAGCTCACTGCAACCTCCGCCTCCCGGGTTCACGCCATTCTTCTGCCTCAGCCTCCCGACTAGCTGGGACCACAGGCGCCCGCCACCAAGTCCGGCTAATTTTTTGTATTTTTTTTAGTAGACATGGGGTTTCACTGTTAGCCAGGATGGTCTCGATCTCCTGATCTCGTGACCTGCTTGCCTCGGCCTCCCAAAGTGCTGGGATTATAGGCGTGAACCTGATTCTTAAGAGAAATGAAAGACGGGCACCAGCTGGGTGGTCTGGGAACTCGGTCTCACTGCTGTCCTCAACATGGGCCCCACATGGTCCTAGTTTCCCTGGCTCATTATGCTTCAGACACACTGGCTTTCTTGCCTTCCTCAAACAGCATTAGTCTGTTCTGCCCTCAGATCTTGGCATGGCTAGCTGCTCCTCGGCAGTCAGCTCAAATGTAGCCTTCTTAGGAGGTCTTATCTAACCAAACAACCTGAATTAGCTTTACTTACTGCTCACCATATATATTTTTTAAATAGCTTGAGGTAAAACTGACATATGAACTGCACATATTTTAAATGCACATCAGCCTGGGCAACATAATGAGACCTAGTCTGTACAAAAAGCAATTTGAAAAAATTAGCCAGGGCTGGGCGCAGTGGTACATGCCTGTAATCCCAGCACTTTGGGAGGCTGAAGCAGGAGGATCGGCTGAGCTCAGGAGTTCAAGACCAGCCTAGGCAACGTAGTGAGACCCCTATCTCTACAAAAAACACAAAAATTAGTTGGCTGTGGTGGTGCACACCTGTAGTCCCAGCTACTCACAGGGCTGAGGCAAGAGAATCGCTTGAGCCCAGGAGGTTGTTGAGGCTGCAGTGAGCTGAGATTGCACCACTGCTCTCCAGACTGGGCAACAGAGTGAGACTCTGTCTCAAAAAAAAAAAAAAATTAGCTGGGCATGGTGGCAAGTGTCTGTAGTCCCAGCTACTCAGGAGGCTGAGGTGGGAGGCTCACTTGAGCCGGGGAGATTGAGATTGCAGTGAGCCACGATCATGCCACTGTACTCCAACCTGGGTGACAGAGTGAGATCCTGTCTCAAAAAGTAATAAAGTAAAACGCACAGTTTATTTCACTTTAGCACATGTATACCAGTGAAACCATTATCATAATCAAGATAATGAACACATTCATTTCCCCTGGAAGTCTCTTCATCATGCCACTCCTACTTGTTTACTTATTGCTTATTTTCTGAAATTACTGTATTAATTTATTGGCTTATTTACCACGTGTCTACCTCCAATAGAATATCAGCTCCTGGAAAGCAAGGAGCTTACCTTGTTCATTACTCGATCTCTAGTGCTTAGAATAGCAACTGGTATACAGCAGGATCTCAATGATTTGTTAAGAGAACGAGCATAGAATATCTAGCTTTGATCTATTCCATCACTGTTAGGGATATACTAGATTTATGTTATAAAAAGGAAAATCTAGTTCTACAATTTGGAATTATCAGCTCTAGGATGCTTGTACCCTCCAACCTATATGACTTCTCAATCATTAGGAGAAGGCCTCTAGCACACACAAAATTGCTTTAATTTCTTCCATATGGATAGTATATATACTCTTAGCTGTCCCAGACTACTGCAAAATATCATGCCAGCCAAGTTTGCTACTCCTCTGCTCCTCATACGGCTGCTGTCATATCACTTATTTCCCATTTCCCACCCCATGATATACTTTTTTGGTTTTTTGTAATTAAAGACGGGGTTTCTCCACATTGCCCAGGCTGGGTTTGAACTCCTGGGCTCAAGCAATCCTCCAGCCTCAGTCTCCCAAGTAACTGGGGTTACAGTGCAAGCCACTGTGTAATACTGCTACTCCACTCATTCTTTATGCCTCATGTTCAAGGTGTCCTTAACACTTTGTTCTACCTTAAACAAAAACAGGAACAAGTAGAGGCAAAGAGAGTTAGGAATCAAAATTAAGGAACCGGGAAACCTGAATTCTGGTCTCATCTGTAACTTTCTGTGGGCCTCAATTTTCCTATATATATTTCTGTCTTATCCCCTCTACTGTAGGAATGAAATCTCACACATCTTCACATAGACGGAGTAAACTTCAGTGGACTAGTTAAGACATCTAACCAATCAACCAAGAATTTGATGTGTCCAACAAAACAAAAGGAAAACTGACTAAAGCATGAGTGTTCAGGAGGTGCCCAACAAAAGACCACCAGCTTCCCTCTCTCAGTTCCCACTTGTGGCACAAAGCGTCACCTGTCCAGTTGTCTCTCCTTTGATCTGTAATTTAAAGGTACTACCATAATTAACAATCCATTCAAGACATCATATTGGGTCCTGTTTGCTCTATTCCTCAACATTCCCATTTCAACTTAGACCCTCTCAGTCAGGCCCACAAGAGTATATCCATATATATGCATATGTATGTGCATCTCTGCCTGGATCTCAACCTATTTACTGCAATGCCAAGGACAACTGCTAGGGCCAGGAGACAGCTATAACACCTGGCATATAATGAGGCTTTCTGGATAGGCTACTGGGAGTGGCAACAAAAAAATTAGTGATTTGAGGCAAACTCAACTTGGTGTGAAGTTGCCAGTGAGATCCCTAACCAGATGGGTTACCTTTGTTCTGTCAGGACCCCAGCGAATCCTGGACAGCCTCTTTAGAAACAGACTGAACACCACAACTCAGTGAGACTGCTGATATACTACTAACAGCACCCTTTTAAAAACAAAATACTACCTTTCTCATTGTAAAAATACATTTTCATTATAGAAAACTTGGCAAGCATGCTATAATATAGATGAGAATAAAAACTGTTACAATACAGAGTACACTTCTGTTAACTTTTTCGTAATTTTTCCCCTTCTGGGAGTTACTTGTGGTGGTTTCAAAACACATCCGAAAATTCTCTGATAATCCTTCCACCTAGAGTGGAGTCCATACCCCTCTCCTTTGGTCTGGGCAGGCCATGGTGATTGCTTGATGAATGTATGTGGTGGTAGTGACAGGCTGGTTAGAAAATGGCATGCAACTTTTGCCATTTCTCATGGGACACTTGTGCCGGGAGCCTTCAGTCACTGTGTCGTAAGTCCGGCTATCCTGAGGGTGCCATGTAGAGATCAGGCTGGGGGGGGGGTCCATGTAGGGACAGAGGTGGCCCCAAATCCTGTTCCAGTGCTCAGGTGTGTGAGCCCTCCCAGCCCACAGGCAGACGCGTGACGGAATGACCTTTCTGACTGCCATCACATCAGAGACCCCCAGTGAGAACTGCCTGGCTAAACCCAGTCGAACCCTAAATTCCTGAGCAAAATATATCACTGTTTGGGTTGGGCACAGTGGCTCACACCTGTAATCCCAGCACTTTGGGAGGCCAAGGTGGCCGGATCATCTGAGGTCAGGAGTTCAAGACCAGCCTGGCCAACATGGTGAAACCCCCATCTCTATTAAAAAATGCAAAACATTAGCTGGGCATGGTGGGGGCACCTGTAATCCCAGCTACTTGGGAGGCTGAGGCTGGAGAATTGCTTGAACCCGGGAGACAGAGATTAGGTGAGCAGAGATCGTGCCACTGCACTCCAGCCTTTTTTTTGTTTTTTTGTTTTGTTTGAGACGGAGTAAGACAGCATCCCTGGCTTCTACCCACTAGATGCCAGTAGCACACCTCCCTCATTCTGACAACCAAAAATGTCTCCAGATATTGCTAAATGTCCTCTGGAGAGTGTGGGAGGAATCGAGAAACATACTGCTTTAGACTAAAGTACTCTGGAACATAAGATACAGTAAGTGCTAGGCCCTGGATCACCTCAAAGGTAGGACTGGCAGTCTAGTTCTCCAATTGTTCCCATCTGCAGGCTACTAGGCTATTCCACTGTGTGGAGTGAGAGAGAAAGCTGTAGGCCACCTCTAACCAGACTCCGTACATACCTTTCTCCAGGCTTAAGGGCTGAGAGTGCTCCTTTAACACCTGCGGAGATGATTAACAGCCCTGCTGTAATTGCCCTAATGGTGGTTTATCTGCAATATGTCACAGTGATGACAAAAAAAAGAGCTACCCCAAACCTTTACGGGGTTCACCCCAAAGCCTTAGTTAAGGAGCTCGGCATCTCAGAAGCTGCCTGTTCTAAGGATGGAACTGTTTTTCCCCACCTTAAAATGTGTGACACAGAGCAGGGAAAGGACTAATAAATAACTGGTTAGAATCTTCCATGAAATTTTCTACTTTCTATTTACATCACGTCCTAGAAGGTATATTTTTGCTGAAATTAGTATTTGAGAAAAGAAAGGAGAAAACAATTAGGACTGAGAGTAAGGAGAACACTGGGTTGGACTACAGCTGAGTTGTTCGAGTCCAGAAAAAGGGATAGGATTCTTCCAACAATTCTTTCTCAAGAAATAGGAAATTTCCAGAAATACTAAAGCCATTGTTAAAAAACACAACAACAACAAAAAAACACCTTTTTGCGTTTTTAAAAGAGGGAAAACATTTTAAAACACACAAAATGCATTAAAGAAAATTCTTAGGCCTCTTTCTAGAATAGGGGCCACTGTGTTAGTTGAGAAACAAAAATAAATGTAACATATATAATTTAATTTGCTCACACAGTTTTTGGCAGATCAGTTGAAAATAGTATCAAACAAGAATTAAGAATTTTGGCTGGTTGGAAGCTGCAGTGAGCCATACTTGTGACGGAGCACAACAGGGAATGGGGAGGGAAGAGGAGGGGAGGAGGGAAGAGGAGGGGAGAAGGGAAGGGGAGAAAGGAAGGGGGGAACGGAGGGGAGGGCAAGGGAGAGGACGGGAGGGGAGGGGGAGGGGAAGGGAGGGCAGGGCAGAAGGTAGGTCCTGTGGGGCGCAGCAGCTCACCTGGCCTACATGCTGAAACCCCATCTCTACTAAAAACACAAAAATTAGCTGGGCATGGTGGCATGCACCTGTAATCCCAGCTACTTGGGAAGCTGAGGTAGGACAATCACTTGAACCCGGGAGGCAGAGGTTGCAGTGAGCTGAGATCGTGCCACTACACTCCAGCCTAGACAAGAGTGAGACTCCTCTCAAAAACAAAACAAAACAAAACAAAAGAAAGATCCTGGCCAGGCCCGGTGGCTCATACTTGTAATCCCACCACTTTGGGAGGCCAAGGTGGATGAATCACTTGAGCCCAGGAGTTGGAGACCAATACAGTGAGTGCGTCTATGTTTTTTCTGTTTTTTTTTTTTTTTTGGTGGTTGTTGTTGTTTTTTGAGATGGACTCTTGCTCTGTCACCCAGGCTGGAGTGCAGTGGTGCAATCTTGGCCTACTGCAACCTCTGCCTCCTGGGTTCAAGCGATTCTTGTGCCTCAGCCTCCCGAGTAGCTGGGATTACAGGTGCCCACCAACACGCCCAGATAATTTTTGTATTTTTAGTAGAGCTGGGATTTCACCATGTCCGCCAAACCAATGTTGAACTCCTGACTTCAAGTGATCCGCCCAACTCAGCTTCCCAAAGAGCTGGGATTACAGGCGTGGGCTATGTTTTTTGTTTTTTTTTTTAAGAAAAAAAAAATGAAGAATTTTAAAACAAACTATAAACTCCATTTAGAAGTCTCTTAATTTATGTCAGTTGATAAATTTAGACAAAACCTTGCCATGGAAAAGATAGGAATTAACCTATACATACTACATACTAGGCACAGTGCTAAGTGCTTTTATATAAATTCTTCCATCTATCGTCATCTTCATTTTACAACAAGCTTGTCCAACCCGCGGCCGGCATACGGCTCAGAACGGCTTTGAATGCGGCCAACACAAATTTGGAAACTTTCTTAAAACATCACGAGATTTTTTTTTTGCAATTTTTTTTTTTAGCTCATCAGCTATCGTTAGTATATTTTGTGTGGCCCAAGACAAACCTTCCAATATGGCTCAGGGAAGCCAAAAGACTGCACACCCCTCTTTTACACAATAAGCAACCTGCATCTTATGGAGGTTAACTTTTTTTTTTTTTTTTTTGAGATGGAGTCTCTCTCTGTCGCCCAGGCTGGAGTGCAGTGACTCAATCTCGGCTCCCAGGTTCAAGCGATTCTCCTGCCTCAGCCTCCCGAGTAGCTGGGATTCCAGGCGTGTGCCACCACGCCCAGCTAATTTTTGTATTTTTTTTAGTAGAGATGGGATTTTGCCATGTTGGTCAGGCTGGTGTCGCACTCCTGACCTCAGGTGTTCCGCCCGCCTAAGCCTCCCAAAGTGCTGGGATTACAGGCATGCCGCGCCCAGCCTAACTCTTTGAATGTTAATGAATGGTAAAGTCAGGACTCAATTCCATGTATGTTTTAATTCCAAGATCCATGTTCTTTCCATTGACTCCATAACGCTACTAACTTCGTAAAATTAATTGAGAACTCTACTCCCAAACCTTGGAAGCCTTAAAAGAACCCCGGGACCTCCACCAATCTCTAGATCAAAAGTCATCAAAATACCTACAAAACAACATAGATTCCTTTTTTTCCTCCTTTGATGGAAGGCTGTTTTGGAGGAATGGGTGCTTCTTGCTCTTCTACTAGACTTTACACTTCACGATCTGTTCAACCACATGGAATAATAAAATGGTCTGCATATTTTTAGAAATAATTTTGAATGATAGGATGTTCCTATGGTTGAAATAACATATTTGCGCTTCAACACAGAGTTTACCGAAATAAAATTTTTTTTCAACGTTCTCACTTGCGATGATGGTGGTAGGAAGGATATTAAAATCCCTAAACTGACGGGAAATAGTTTTTCTTCGAAATTTACTTCCAGGACGTCAGGGATCTAAGCACTTCAAATATGATTCATCTGGAAAACCAGAGGCTTCCAGTGCCTCGGTAAAGTGGATTGGTTACCAGGGTTATTTTGCCGCGTCCCCTACACCAGTTGTTTCTGGGGCTCCTCTGTGGAGCAGACAGGTGCCTGTCATAAATAAGATGGTGAATTCAGGACTGGCGGGTGGAATATGAAGTGGGACAGGAACCCGGCCACACTCGCGGTGAGCCGCGGCCGACAGGTACCTGCCGGGTCTCCTGCAAGCCGGCGGGAGCTCCAGAAGCCGGAATGGGGCGCCTCCCTTCCACGCGCCCGCGGAGCAGCGGCCCTGGACGGCGGCGGGGCGCACGGCCCGCGCTCGAAGCCGCTCCAGGGGCGAAGGGCCGGGTGGCCCACGGAAGGGTTCCCGCGGCAAAAGACGCCGGGGCGGGACCACGTTCCCTCCCTCGCCTCTGGCGGCCCCAGGGGCGGAGCCTCGCCGAGCGGAGGCCCGAGGGGCGGGGCTTAAGGCCGCGCGAGGAGGGCGCGGTCTCCGGAAATTGAGGAGCCGGGGTTCAGATACTGCCCGCGGCAGCTCGTCCGGGAGACTGGGGGTGTAAACGGCCTCCAACCTGCCTCCCTACCTGTCGGCGAGAGAAGAGAGCGGTCCCTGGCTGCAGCACCCGGGAGCCGCAACGCTGGCACAGCACCGCCTTCCGGTTTCGGCCCTCGGCTGACACTAACTCGCTCAGCTGCTCCGCTGGTTCCATTGCCGCTGCCGCCACAAGCTCCTCAGCCACGGCTGCGCAGGCGCTGTTTCTGCTGACTCGTTCTTCACTGCGCTGGCGCGGCTTGGCGTGAAGCGGACGGTCACCACGTCTCTGCGCAGGCGCCCGCTTCCCCGCTCTGGATTCTACTGCGCAAGCGCCTTCATTCATTGCCTAACCTGAGTGGCTAGGTGTCGGCAGGCTTTGTGACAGGGACACTTCTTGGGACCAGTGACATATCTCCATACCCACCTGGCCACTGGGCTTCACTTAATATTAAAACCTGTTGACCTGTTTAGTTTTCTGAGATCTGAATTTAGTCTCCTGAATGGGGACATTATTGGAGGCAATGTGAAGGTAATCTGGGTCGGACTTCCCATCAAGTTTTAGCCACACTAGCTTCTTAAACTACTTAGAGGGGCATGTATCTTTTCGGTATTGGAAAAAGATGCATGGAAGCTTTAATTGCTGGTCTCTTCTACTCATTGTGACCATTTACTATGCGGCAAAATGTCAAAGCGCCTTTAGAAACTTACCACATCATCACAGTTTCCTTACGGAATCGGCACTCTTGTGCAGGAAATGAGAAAGGTAAAGATCAGAAAGGTTGCAGCACAACTCTAAAGCCGCTGCTCTTCATTAACTAGGATTGTCAGGAAGGCAAGATTATTTCAGACAGAATAGTATTATATATGAACAAAGGTGAGAACAAATTTAGGAATGGTTAGTAGACCACTGTGGCTGATCCACATTACACCTGGGGAGAAGCGGTAGTAGAGGTAGGTAAGATCAGGAAGGTAGAGTGGACTCAGAGCTCCATGGATGTAATGTCATGCTAAGGAATTTAACATTAATAACATGAACAATGGGAATCTGTGGAATTTTAGGCCAGAAATAACTGTTTGATATTTACTGTCTGATGTTAAGTACTGTAATGATCCTATCTGTGCTTCAGAGACAACCTATGACTAAATGGAAAGAATAGATTGAAGAGAGGAAAAAGAGTAGAGGTAAGGATATCAGTGGCTATTACCTTGAGTCTAGCTGAGAAAGGCCCTGAAGCTAGCAGAGGGAACAAAGATATGGGAATGGACTCGGAACAATTAAAATTGTACAGAACTTAGAAACTAGCTGGATGTCTGTGTTGTGATGGGGGTGACACAAAGCAACTGCTGGTTTTCCTGGGTTAGATGACTAAGTAGCTGGTTGCCAATTATGGGAGCTTGAAAAAATAAGATGAACCACTAAATTAGGGGTATCTCTGTGTATATATGTGAGCACGTGAAAGTGCACGATTGTGAAAAGAGTGAAAAAGGAGCTCTAAGTTTTACATGTTGATCTTTCTGTAGAACATTCCATCGTAGCTTCAGTGTATGAACTACTTGTGAAGTTGGTCTGAAACTCATTAGCACTGAAGACAGCATGGGAGCCATCAGTCCTTCACCCTCCCCTGGATTTATTCCTGAGATAGGAAAAGCCACGTTTTATAGGCTGTGGTTTAATTAGCAGGCGCAATCCATCTGCCAAAGTTGGCAGGTATCTTTAAGGAAAATAACTTCCTCATGTGGTTGCTCCTCCCTTTTGCTCTGGAAGCATCAGGATTGTTGCAGTTTTGCAGGCCTTCTGCATAGCTGTTTATATATCACATGCCATAATTCAAATCAAATGGAAAAAAGGACTAGTGTGACTGAAACCCTAAAATTCAAGTGGGTGCTAAGTGAATTGAAGACGTCTCTTCTTTGTTCCTTTGGTTTTCAAGTAACTCCAAGCATGAGAGGGAATAATGAATACAGCGAATCAGGAAAATATTTTACTGAAGAGGATCTCCAAAGTGTAAAGTGGCTACCTCTTACCTGTGTCTAACAGAGAAATAGCGGAACTAGTTGGCAAACACACAGGATGAACAGGTTGAAGAGACGGGAGCTATGGCTGATCCCTACATCTTTCCCTCCCAAATATCTGCTAAAGGCAATGCTGGTTAGCCACAAACTCTCGGCACTTGACACCAATGATTTTTAATATTTTCTTAAAAAAATACAAAGGAAATTAACTCTGTAGGTCAATACAATTCAAGGAAAGAGGGGAAAATGGAATTTCAGAGCAAAGATTGTTTAGGTTATCACATTCCCACACTCCCAATACCCATAAAACAAGAATTTCACTCCATGACACGGAGGAACATTGAATGATAGCTCAGAAATGCTGCTAGCTGAGGTACTGAAACTAACAAAAGGATTTTGGTTGTCCTTGATTATTCTGTCCTATGATGAATAAAATCTACACTAAAGGACAGGTAAAGAAAACTTATACCAGAAAAAAAGACCAAATGTACCAAACACAGCAGTACAAACCACTCCTTGGCAGAAGTGTGCTTCTAAAAGAATGGGGCAGCAATCAGGTAGCTGAACTACTAGGCTACTGTCACTCCCAGCCCATCCCCAAATAAATAGTGTGGAAGTGTAATAGTGTAGTAGTATTTGATTCAACAAAGAAAGGCTTTCACCCCCATTCAAGGCAAACATTGCCATGGCTAGATAAGCCCTGGCAGGTAATAAGACGACTGTAAAATCACAGGTACTTCTAGTTTATCCCCAGTTATAGTGAACTCCCACATTGATGTCATCTTCTCTCATCCCAACATTTGTTCACTCTTTTATGCTGTCTCCAGTGCGAAAGACCTTGGGGAAATAAAAAGATCCTTCAAATAATATACCCTTCTCAGTCTTCCAGGTTATGTCATACTTCAGTGCTGTTCTAGGTTCACTCACATTCCATCACATTGAGTTTAATTCACTTATTCTAACTTCAATTCTGATATACAAACCCTGACCTCCAAAAGAAGTGTCAGATGAGTCTCTCTCTCCCTTGCCCCCAAAGTTTTGTGGGGCTCTCCCTTTGGTTTCCCTCTACAATGGAACTGTGTTGCCCCTAGCTACCTGTAGATGAGAAAATGTAGTTGTTCCTGGAAAAAAAAGAAAAAAAAAAGACTTGGATTTTACCAAGCTTACTTAAATTGGTATCTTTCCAATCATCTAGGCTGGATATTACCCACATCTAGTAGGCTATACTCACCTTGCAACATATGAGGCACAACATACATATAGTACACCAAGCACGTGGTAAGTTAGAAATGACAGGAAAATGCTCCCCAAAGCAGTGGGAGAGGCAATGTGGTCTCTCACATCCATTCAATGTGCATTCTTTTCTCTGGAGTATCTGTTACCCACCCTTCTCAGGAGCAAGACCCAGGACGAGGGGGAGTATGTGTCAAATAAGTACAATCATCACTGCACTGGTGCCTGTAATCAACCTGTGCACATAGTGAGAAACAGACATTCTGGAAAGGATTCTTGATTCTCCCACTAACTGTCCACTGGACTGGAATAGCTCTGGATGGTGCTCCAACAATGGTCACTTCTCACGGAGAACACACACACCAGCATCACAGCGCTGGGTTCCCATGGATGTCACGACTTCCCAGCTGTCGATGATAGGGTCATAACATTCAATGCTACTTAGCAGGGAATTACCATCATATCTGAGTGGGAAAGAAGCAAAAGAAAGAAATGAGTCAGTTGCATGCAGTGCACGTGCCTGTAATCCCAACTATGCAGGAGGCTGAGGTAAGAAGATTGCTTAAGTCCAGGAGGGAATTTGAGAACAGCCTAGGCAACATGGTGAGACCCCGTCTCAATAAAATTTAAAGAAAGAAATTCGCCTTCTATTCCTTTCCACACAAGTCCTTCATTAAGGCTGCCACTGGAGACCAGGCATGGTGACTCTCGCCTGTAATCCTAGCACTTTAGGAGGCTGAGGTGGGAGGACTGCTTAAGCCCAGGAGTTGGAGACCAGCCTAGGCAACATAAAAAACTAGTCTGGCACAGTGGCATGCACCTGTGGTCCCAGCTACTCTACTCAGACTCCAGCCTGGGTGACAGAGCAAGACTCTGTCTCTAAAAACTAAAAAAAATCTAATAAAAAATATCAGGTTGCCACTGGAGATATCTACCCCTACCCAAGTCTTGTCTCCATCCAAAAATGAGGATCAGATCACATAGACTCTTGGCTCTGGCTACATATTGAGTCTGGATTAGTTTCTAAATCCTCACCCTGCAATTGCATAGAGTCTCCCCCGAAGCACTGTGGCCCCTACATAGCATCGTGGAGTGGTCATACTGGTGACAGTTGTCCAGGAATCAGTGCGAATGTTGTATGCTTCAACGGAAGAAAGGTGGGCTGTACCATCAAATCCCCCCACCACATAAATATGGTCATTCAGCAGGGCTACTCCTGCACCTGGGGAAAATGAAGGCATTAGCAAACGAATGGTACTAAGCCTAGAATCTGAATTACAGAAATAAACTATCGTCACTAATGACTAGCTGAGTTCTAGAGTAGATGAGAGATATGGACTGGGTCCATACGGGCCTAGAATAATCTAGTCCAGCACAAGTTATTCCACCTATAAACCCTTTGGCTCGGACTTGAAATGATAAAAGGTAAGTAACAATTGTTCTCCTTACTTTCATTAACTCAGAGCCCAACCCTTCTAATTAGGAGAAAGGGAGGAAGAGAAAAAAAAGGCAGCAATAAAGGTTGATGGAGGGAAAGGAGTTGTGATTATGCTTCTGAAGCAATTTTTACCCAGAATAAGTAAACCAGAACGGCACAGTGTTTTCTCCTTTTCTACATCCCAGCCTGCTCCACTTCAAAAAGTTCTCGGTGAAGGTAAGTAGCTACTCTTTTGTCCTTATGCATTAGAGACTTTATTTAACATTTATTTAACATGTACTACACAGACAAAATTGTACTAGATATTCTAAAAAGTAGGGAGAGAACAAAGACATGAAGGCTTTTGCTTACAAATGTATAATCTAGTTGTTAAGTATCAACTGTCTTTATCTTCACTAATATTTAGAGAAAACAGAGATAAGGAGGAGAGCAGAATCTCATTTTTACATTAATCTACAGTTTGCCCCATGCACCACCATTATATATGCAAATGTCTGACAG